CTGGGGGACGCCAGACATGACAGTGCGGGGGCTGGAGGAGAAACCGTTAGAGGCAACAAAGTGGAAACGGTGAGAGATAGGATTCTATCCAGGCAAGGGCAGGTCCGCGAAGATTAAATAGTGAGGCGGTGTATGAGGATGGAGTGGTCGACAGTGTCGAGGGTGGCAGAGAGGTCGAGGAGGACAAGGAGGCAGAGGGAGCCCTGATCAAAGAATGCTCAGAATGTCATTAGTGACTTTGACCAGGGTTGTTTCCGAGCTATGGGTAGCATGGAAGCCGGATTGGAAGGGTTCAAAGAGGGATTGGCGAGAAAGAAAGGAGCAGAGCTGGGACGCGACGACTCGCTCCAGGACCTTGGAGAGGAATGAGAGGTTAGAGATCGGGCAGTAGCTGGAGAGGAGGGATGGGTCCAGGGAAGGTTTTTTCAGGATGGGGGTGATGGCGGCTGTTTTTAGGGGGGTGGGAACTGAACTGGTGGACAAGGAGAGGTTGATGATGTCGGACAGGAGAGGGCCAGAAGGTGGAGATGAGGAGAGAGGTGGGGCTGGGATTGAGGGAGCAGGTGGTGGTAAACAGTAAAGATACATTGAAAAACTGCCGGTCCTGCTAATGGATCATCTCACTCAGCCTCTGCCAGTCATTCCAGCAGGGCCCAGGATAGGTCGCAAGGCGGGGAGAACCTGGCACAAGGGAATAGGGAAATCTGACTCAGCCAAGCCACAGGAACATCGCACAGAGGACATGCTGAGACTAGACAATGATGTCAGCACACGCATGGCATGAATCACTGGCTCCAGCCTGTCAGAACTCTCAATCAATGAACATTACTGTAACCAGAGGACACAGTTGTAAGATAATTGGCAAAAGAACCAGAGGGGAGACGAGGAGAATTTTTTTACCCAGAGAGTTGTTACGATCTGGAATGCACTGCTTGAAAGTGTGGTGGAAGCAGATTCATTAATAATAATCCTTGCATTTGATATAGCACCTTATCACATTTTGAGATGTCTCAAAGCGCTTCAAAAATATATTGTAAAGTGAATTGAATATGTATTTTGTGGGTGAAACACAGCAGCCAATTGCGCACAGCAGTGTCCTACAAACAGATAATAGCTTTCAAAAGGGAATTAGATAGGTATGCAAAAAGGAAAATTTTTCAGGGCTATGGGGTAAAAGTGGGGGAGTGGGACTATTTGGTAGCTCTTTCAAAGAACCGGCACAGGTATGATGGACCGAAAGGCCCCCTTCTGTTCTGTAATATTCTGTGATTCTATTTGAATAAGAGGGGCCGAGCAGGGCTGGGACCAGGGTGTGGGAGCGCTGCCTGCCTGCTGGCACTTACTCCAGCCCATAACTACGTCGGCCAATTTTTCTTTTCCTTTTGAGGTGACTGGAAAAATAGGAGGGAAAAAAGCATCCTGTCTGGCTCCAACCAGCGTGCAACATTTCTGGAGCTGACTGAAGCTTGAGGAACAATTTGCAGGGAAAAAGGTGTGTTGATTGCATTCCATTTCTCACCCTCTGGGCTGCAGGGGGCAGCACTGCGACTCGGAACAGAGATCATCATCCAATAATGGTCTGAAACAGCAGCCTACAGGCGAAACATTGGACACAACAACAACAACATTACATTTGTATAGTGCCTTTCATGTCAGGAGGACGTCCCAAGGCGCTGGACAGACAGAATTACGGACCCGAACTAAGGGTCGGGGTGGAGGGCAGGGGGAAAGTAGGGAGATCGACAGCACAGACGAAGAGAGTCTTGAGGTGGGTCTTGAAGGTGGCGAGGGAGGAGGCGAGACGGAGGGACTGCGGGATGGAGTTCCAGAGGGTGGATGCAGAGTGGTGGAAGGCCCGCCCGCTGATAGTGGGGTGAGCAAGGCGGGGGACATGAAGCAGGATGGAGCCCGCTGAGCAGTGAGACCGAACAGGGTGGTAGGGGGTTAGGAGGTCGGAGAGGTAGGGGGAAGCAAGATCGTGGAGGGCTTTGAAGGTGAGGACCAGGATCTTGAACTGTATCCTCTGTGTGATGGGAAGCCAGTGGAGTTGGGCAAGGATTGGGTTGATAGGGTCGCTGAGCCCGGTGCGGGAGAGGACACGGGCTGCAGAGTTCTGGAAGATCTGTGGCGGGAGGAGCTTCCTTACTCCACACGCCTCTGTTTACCCAGCAGCAAGCAAGAACCCAGTTGTTAATCGACTGGGGGATCGCTTTTCTGCGGGTAATAAAAATTTTGTCACTCAATCCATGACTGTTTGTGGAACACTGCTGTGCACAATTGGCTGCCGCATTTCACCCACAAAATAGTCAATTCAGTTTACAGAATATTCTGTGAAGCGCTTTGAGCCGTCTCAAAGATGTGATTAGACGTTATATCAAATGCAAGGATTATTATTATTTTACCCTCTTTAACCTAGAGACATTGTCGCCCAGCTGCTGCCCTAAGATTAGTAACTCAGCACAGCTACACTGGGAAGGTGCGGACCTCACTCAAGCCGAGAGACAGTATATTATCCCTGATTGACCAGCTCGCTTACATTAGTCACTCCTGCCAGCCAGTTCTGTGTTATCTTGACTGAAGGTACAACAACAACAACAAGATTCCATTTATTGAGCGCCTTTCACGTCGGGAGGACATCCCAAGGCGCTGTACAGTTGGGTCAGGACCCGAGCATTGGGGAAATGGTCAGGGTGAGGGGAGGGAAGGGAGGGAGCGAGGAGGGGGGAAATGGTGAGGGGAGGGAAGGGAGGGAGCGAGGAGGGGGTAGAGAGTCGAGAAGGGAGCTGAAGGCACGGTCAAAGAGAAAGGTCTTGAGACCGGCCTTGAAGGAAGAAAGGGAGGAGGCGGCGAAGGCACTGGGGGTAGAGTTCCAGAGCCAGTTAATCAACAATGTCCATCCACACTCCCAGGTCAGTGACAGCACGGGTTAGACAGAGTAAAGCCCCCTCTACACTATCCGCCCACACTTCCACATGAGTGACAGATGGGTTAGAGACACAGTGAAGCTCCATCTACACTGTCCCATCAATAGAATTATCCCCAGTTGTAGAAACATTGGTGCATCATTCCCACATAATTGGAGCAGTGAAGCCTGCTGCAAAGCTATTTTTAAGAGGCGAGACTTTCAGCAATAAGCTGGCATCTGGGCTGTCAGCATTCCTGTCACCCTGAAAGATTAATTCTTTTTCACAACCACATGGAGAGTTCTAACCCGAACAGCGCCTAGTAGTGAGGGAGACGCACATGCAGGGACCTACTGTGCTGTGTTGGGAGTTGCAGGTTTAGCCAGCTCCGGGGAGGCGATCGTACTTGGTGTGGACAAAATTCATGTCTACGTGGCTCCGGCGTGAACAGGACCCAACGTTCTACATCCACCCGAGTGCCAGCTGCCAGCCCACTGGTACCAACCTCACCACACAGGGCAGCTCACCATCTCTAGCTCTCTCCTCCGGGTGGGCTCAATTCCTCCTCTCTCTGCTCCACAATCTTTCTTTTCTCTATTCCACTCCCACTTTCCGTTCTCCTGTCTCTGTTTGATGTCTCTGCCTCTCGGAGCCTGTAGAGCCGAAGAGCTGATTACAGCCCAGAGCACAATTCATTCAGCATCACCAAAATGGAGCATGTTTCTATGGCAACCAAGCAACGCAGCGCCCAGCAGCTTGCCCCCTCCCTCAGCCAGTGCTCTCAGCTCCGAGTTCCTCCCGCTCAGGCTGAACATTCATTCCCTCCTGCTATTTTTTGTTTCAAGAACAAATTACATAGATTTCTGCTAGAAAATAATATCTCGGGATATAGTATATAGTTTGGGACATGACAAGGGACTGCCAGGCTGTTGGAAGGCAAACAAAATGGATCTTGGTCTTCTTTCTCGTAGCAAATATGTTCTTACGCTTTCCCGGGCCCAGTGATAACTATTTACCTTTGCGGCTCTGGCTGAAGAGGCCCAAGTATTTCACAGATGGAATTTTTTTCCCAGCCCCAAACATGTGGTCTCCATATTGATTTTGTGCCACTGTGCAGCCTGGCTCCTGTGCCAAGTCCTTGCCGAGCAGCCAGAGCCCCATCTGGAACACATTAAGCGGCTGCTGCTATTGAACTGGCGCCAGGAGTTGTTTCTGTGCCTCCCAGCTGCGATTCAGCAACCTTTCCTGACCAGGGCTGCTCGCCTTCCACCCATCACTGCTTAATCACTTCTCTCAAAGGCCCGTCATTTGAAGGCGGATTTCCTGGGTAACTGTAAGAGTGCTGGAAAGTACAAAGAGTGTGACAATGTGAGAACAATGTGCTGGATTGTAAGATGGCCAGTGACTGTTGGATGTTTAGCTGCTCTCTTGCACAGCAGGATGTGAAGCTCAGAAGACTGAATACTCCCAGGCTGGGCTGGATAACAGTCAGTTGTTCCTGGCTGGGAAACTGCCGACTCCTTCTGACCCGTCCCTTGGCACTGAATCAGTGCATCACAGTGTGGGTACCCCAGTGTGGCAGAGAGTGGGTACCACTTGTGTGTATGTGTATGCATGTGGGGGGCGGCGAAGGGTTGTCAACATGTAAACAAAATCCACCCATTGGGGTATCTAAACATCTCAGCGTATTGCAAAGCTTCCTGGCTTTGTCAGCGTCTCTCCTAAACCAGATTTACAAAGAACAGAAAGAGGCCATTCATCCCTTCAAGTCTGCTGTGTTGTTTTATCCACGTTACCATCTACTCTAATCCCACTTCCATTTCATATTCCTCCTCCTCGAGCATTTAAATCCATTTAAAAGAATTTATGAGCTTTACTTCAGTAATGGTATGAGGCAGAGAATTCATCATTCCAACTACCATTACCATAAACTCAGTTCTAACATCCCTTTTAATTCTTTTTCTAATATTATATTATTTCCCAGTCACACGCCACAATCCACTACATTCACTGCAATATGAACCAGGTAAGGAACCTCCCCAGTACAGTGCGACCCTGGCCAGCATTTAACCTCTGAGCAGGAATCCAGCAACCAGAGAACAGGACACACAATCTTTTATTTATAAAACGTTTCACATTCCCTATTTTTAAGAATACATCAAGGCTCCTTACTGATCGAGTGAGCATCAGACACATTCAACCAGCGTTGGAGGCACAATGAAGAGGTTGCCTTCAGAGCAGGCAATTCTGTATAGCGGCAGGGGTATAAATCAGCATGTTGTTATAAAAAGGCTGGATCTGCATTGAATATTTTTCCCCATAGACAGTTCTTTTGTAACAGCAACAACTAAGGAGTCAGAAACAGGTAGTGTGCAGGGGCCTAGGACCTTCCCTCCTCTCCCATTCCTCTCTCCCCACTCCCCATGGGGCCCTCCCTCACGGAGCCCAGAGGCCACCACTATTGAAAGCTGGTGTTCAGGTGTTCCCATCTCCTCAGGTGATTGCAGACTTTAATTTTTCCAGCTCCAGAGAGGTTGAAAGAATATTCAGACGTGAGGTACGGCAGATCCCCAGACAACCCAGGCTACGAGAAAATAACAGTAAAAAGGAAATCAGCACCAGATCAGGGGCCCTCAGTACAGAGGCCTTGCACCTCTCCTGGCCCTCAGCCCCGCCGCCCCCTACCCCCACACACCCTCTCCCCGTGTCGTGGTCTCACCTGGTTTTGGAAGAGTGAGTGCGGGATGGTGACGGCCCCCAACAGAAGGCAATTCACCAGCCGCAGCTTTGCCGGTGACACTGGGGTCAGTATATAATACAGCTTCTTCTCCATATTTATCCCACGAAGGATTCCTACAAAGAACACAGCCATTGATTACCGCATAGCATTAGGCAGCAATAAATAGCCAGCAAACTGAAAACACGGGCGGATGGGAAGAGGGGGTTGTTGCCTAACTGAGTCTCGAAATCCCCTGGCTGGGAGTGTTTTAAGGGGAAATGCAGACAAGAACAAACAACATTTACACAGCGCCTTTTACATCAGGAGGACATCCAAAGGCACTGAACAGTCAGGATTTTGGACCCAAGCAGGGGACTGGGATCAGGAGGGGTGGAATACAGGGAGGGTACGGGTAGGAGGGTGGGCGAAGGCACGGTCGAAGAGGAGGTGTGTCTGGGGATCTGCTGTACCTCACATCTGAGTATTCTTTCAACGAGACATGCCTTGAAGGAGGCAAGGGAGGGAGCAAGGCGAAGGGAGTATGGAATGGAGTTCCAAAGGATGGGGGTAGAAGACCTGACTGCCAATGGTAGGGCAGGCCGGGCAGGGAATGTGGAGCAGGCTGGAGCCTGCTGAGCGGAGGAAGAGGATAGGTTGATATGGGGTTAGCAGGTCACGGAGGTACGGTGGAACCCTGGCTGGGACTGGTGACAAGACAGTGCAGATCCCTCCTGAGTATCTCTATCTCTATGCTAAACTCACCAATGCCAAAACAATCACAGATGGGAGAGTGCGGGAGTATGACGGGGCCACCTCGCTGGGAGCAGACATTGTCTGGAACCTGGCAGAGCCCAACCAAGCTGGCATTGGCAGTGTACAGGATGTGAGCTGGGGACACATCACAGTGTAGTACGTGCAGCGCCACTGCACCAAACGGCACCTGGGGAACAGGAAAAGCAACTCAATCAGCACCAGAACAGAGAAGAGAGCAACCGATCGATCCTTGTGAAGGGACATCACATTCAACTTATTGAAGCAGTCATCCCTCAGGCAGCCATTCAGGCCTGTGTAATGCTGTGACTGTCCAGAACCCAACTCAGAACTCAGGCTTCTAATTTGGGCACAATGCCACCTCGGAGGGAGGATCATTTCATTCGACCACAGAACACTTCGAGCACAGTATGAGACTGACCACAGGTGCAAACAATTATGCAGGGACGACACCAACAACTTACATTTGTATAGCACCTTTCACACTGGGAGTACATCCCAAGAAGTTAAAAGGTCTGGATAGCAACCAGAAACGTAAACCCTGGCTAAGTGTCTTTCCCATAGTCAAGGTGTTCAATGAAAGCACAGTTACTGCAAGGCAATAGATTTGGAAGCTCTGACCATTAGTGATCTCCACCCCACAGGCAATATTATTCTATCGCAGTCTCTCCCTGGTGAGGCCCTGGGAGAGACCGTCGAAGCCACCCAGTAATCTCCCACCGAGCCTGAAAGAGAAACTTCGGTCTGTAAGTACCTGATAGGGCAGCATGCTGTGCAGAGGCTGCTGGGCTCTCCCAGTGTCCAAGGGCAGCAGTTGGCTCAGAGATCCCAGCAGAGCCAATTCTCTCAGCATGTGATTGGGGAATTTCCTAAGGAGCACACATAATTCAGTAAAAATACCCACAGCCTGAGACCTTGGCAAACCACAGAGCTGTCTCCCCTCTCCCTAACGGGTGCTCACAGCAACAACTTGGATTTATATAGCGCCCTCCACGGCGGACGGCGTCTCAAGAGCGCTTTACAGTAACGGATCCTAGAACCGAGCCAGGGGGAGGGGGAGGGGGGAAAGTGACCAAAGGCGCAGTCAAAAAGAAAGGTCTTCAGCAGAGACCTGAAAATGGGAAGGGAGGGAGCGAGGCGAAGGGAGTGAGGAAGGCAGTTTCAGAGCCTCAGGGCATAGTGACTGAAGGCACAGCCGCCGAGGGTGGAGCGGAGGACTCGGGGGACAAGGAGGAGGCCAGACCCGGAGGAATGAAGGCAACAGGTAGTCTTTTGAGGAAAGAAGTTAGAGAGGTAGGGGGGTGCAGAGGAGTGCAGGGACTTGAATACAAGGGTTAGGATCTTGAAATCGATCCTATCTGGGATAGGCAGCCAGTGCAGTCTGGCCAGGACTGGGGGGATCGGGGAGTGGAGTTCGGTGCAGGTGAGAATGCGGGCGGCAGAGTTTTGAATGATTTGGATTTTATGGATGGCAGTGGATGGGAGACCGGCGAGCAGGACGTTAAGAGTAGTCCAGCCGAGAGGTGACATAGGCATGGACCAGGGTTTCAGCGGCTTTTGGGGAGAGGTATTGGCAGAGACGGGCGATGCTGGTGAGGGACCGGATGTGGGGGAGGAAGGATAATTGGGGGTCGAACCTGACGCCAAGGTTCCGTATGGATTTGGAGAGTTTTAGGGGGAGGTTGGATAGGTAGAGGAGGTGAGAGCCTTGAGGGTTAGACATTGAGTATGAGTATGGCTTCCGTCTTGCCAACGTTCAGCTGAAGGAAATTTGCGCTCATCCAGCCCCTGAGATCTGACAGGCAGGCTGACAGAACATCAGAGGACTGGGGGTCGCAAAGAGAGGTGTAAAAGTAAAGTGGTCTACATACATGTGGAAGTGTACCCCATGTCTGCGGATGACATCTCCAACATGCATTAATATAAGCAACCCGTCATGCATTGGCAGTGTCTCAGAGCGCTTGACAGTGGTAGAGCATGGTGCTGTGCCAGGGGGGAGGTGAACGTAGGCACGGTTGAAGAGGAAAGTCTTCCAAAGATGGGGAAGAAAGGGGCAAGGCAGAGTGATAGAGGGAGAGTGTTGCAGAGTTACAAGGTAATCAGTGCACATGGACACACGTGAATCCAACAATCGACTCTTACAGAAGTGCACGTGCATACCCAGGACATAATCCTCATAACATTTAAACCACAACCTGCAATTATACAGAACCCTGCACATTGGATGTCTCGGAGCACTTCACAAAGATAGGGAGGAGAGAGGAGGAGGTGACTGCAGGTTTTTATGAGATTTAAAGACAGACAGAGATGGGCCGAGGCAGCATTTAAAAACACAACAATAATTTTGATTTTTAAAGAGCCTTTCATGTGGCGAAGATGCCTCAAAGTACTTGACATAACTGTCTGGAAGCCTGAGTTGGGAGAGCTGAAATCATGGCAACACTGACAGTAACAGACCATACAGATATACTGCTGACCCGAGGAAGGTTGAACTAACTGAACTTTACTCATAGACTAGTTAAGGACTCACTGAGAGCAACTCCTTTCTCTTGCTTGGCTGTATGCCTGGACCCGCAACAGCCTGTGCCCGCGGAGCACAAGCCCCTCATTTGGGGCCTCCTCCTCCTCTGAGCTCTCCCATGTATTCACAACTGCACAACTCTGCTGGATCTGGTGCTTGCCCTTGGTGTGCCAGCCAGCGGTCGTGCGCACGTGCTCCGGGGTCATAAACGGCAGCTCCTGGCTCCCATCCCCGGTCCTGAACTGTACCACGTGCGTTGGGGACAGCAGCCGAATCAGGTCAATGAGAACCAGCAAACCCAGGCCTATGAGAGAGCAGGGGGGTGAGCGAGAAACATACACACACGTTAGGAGATATGGAAAGATATGGCTAGACATATGATGGTTAGACTCTTTCTCTATCCCGCCACCTTGCCCCTTCCTTCCCCATCTTCAGATCGCACCTGAAGACCTCTCTCTTCAACCATACCTAAGGTCACCTCCCCCCAGCTCAGGGTTGTGTACCACCACTGTCAAGTGCTCTGGGATGCTACCGTGCATAAGGGGTGCTATATAAATGCAAGTTGTTGTAGACACCATTAAGACCCTCCCCTAGCCCTCACGACAGAGTTTCTAAAAGAAGAAGAGGGGAGTTGAGAAGAATTTTTTTTCTCTCGAGTTGTTCGAATCTGGAACGCGTTGCCTGAAAGGGTGGTGGAGGCCGATTGGATAACTATTTTTAAAAACGCGGCGGACGGGTATTTGAGGAGGACGGGTCTGCGGGTTATGGGGAAAGTGCTGGGGAGTGGGATTGACATTACATTGCTCTTTTCAATGAGCCGGCACAGACTCAATGGGCCGAATGGCCTCTTTTTATGCTGCACCATTCTATGATATGTGGACTCTCTATGTGATGGGTGGAAACTGTACTCAACACTTCCATTTCTTTCAGTGAGATAAACGCACTGCACACAACCTCGTCCCACGACAATACCCCACCTCATACCAACAGCACGACCCTGACCTCATACATGTTACTGAGGGGAGAGGGACGAGACATTTGTGATGTAATTTCCGAACCCACTGCCACAAGCTGCTTTCTCCAGCGCGTTTACAGTGGCTGACCTTTCACCCAGCCCATGGTGTTGATGACTAGAGGCACTTCCTTCCGGCACGCTGCGTGCAGATACTTCACCGCCTCCATGTATCGGTCCAAGTCTCGCTCGCACGACACGTCACCGTAATACACCATTTTCCGGGGCTCACTCTGGTGCATATAAGGAGGACCTGTAAAAGAGACAGAACAAAGACCTGCTCAACCACTGTTCATTCACAGTAACGTCTTAGCTGTAACTGATCAGAAGAGGTTGCACTGTGACTTACCAGCTCATCCATGCATTTTTCACATCTAGGCTTGACTATGAAACTCCCTGCTTGTCGTCCTTCCCAACTCTTCCCACCACAGCCTGTAGATCGTCTAGAACTCTGCGGTTCATGTCCTCTCCCACAGCAGGCTCTGTCCTCAGTCCCACCCTCGCCCTGTGCCACTGACTCCGCATCTCCCAGAGAATAGAGTTAAAAATCCTCGCTCTCACCTGTAAGTTCCTCCATGGCCTTGTTTCTTCCTACCTCTGCGACCTGCTAACCCTATGTCAACTTGTCCACTCCCTCCGCTCAGCAGGTTCCGGCCTGCTCTATGTCCACCACCCAGCCTGCCTTCAGCCTCTCTGCCCCCACCATTTGGAACTCCATCCCAAGTCCCTTTGTCTTCCTCCGTCCTTTGCCTCCTTGAAGGCACGTCTCAAGACCCTCCTCTTCGACCACGCCTTCAGCCACCCTCCTATCCATACCATTTCTATCCTCCACCCCTCCTGATCCCAACCCCCGGCTCGAGTCCAAATCCCTGATTGTCCAGCAGCTTGGGATGTCTTCCTGATGTGAAAGGCGCTGTTCAAATGTCATTTGTTGTTGTTACAGTGACAGTTACTCGCAGCATTTCAACAATAACAACTTGCAATTTATACACTGCACTTCACGCAGGGTAGCGTCCCCGAGTGCTCGACAGTGAGAAATAGATTTGCGTGTCTTCTGTAGACATGTAGATGTTTACCCTGTGTCTGCGAATGACATCGCCGAGAGAGAGCACGTAGACGAGGAAAAGAATAATAATTTCACTACAAGCCCATTTACAAGATGACTTTCTTGGTAGCAGCAGACAGGCTACTTACTGAGAAGAGGTCCGGTAACGGAGTGCAGTGCCACACAGCCTGGAGGACTGAATTCTGTCTGACCCAAGTCACACTCCAAAAACTCCACGCAGGGAACACTGAGAGAGGGGGGGAAGGGGAAGAGATTAGCAACTTGAACCCAAACCTTAAAGATTACAGATACACTAAACATTATAGGCTACATTAAACAGTAAGAGACAGGATAACTTACTGGTTCAGGAAGGAGTTCATGAGGTAGCGACTGAAGGTTGACTTGCCGACATTCTTATTACCACAAACCAGGATGATCGGGCAGCCATCGTCGTCCTCTGCTCTCACACAGATATTCAGTTATTACAGGGAAATAATCCTCAGCTCGTAAGGCACTCACATTTTATTTTCTGGTCAGCAGCCAAGTGTCTGACGTATGTGTAAACCCATCACCACTCTTAAAGAGTATTCAAATCAAACAGAGAGTTCTACGCAATCCACCTACACATGGAGATTCCACAGATAGATTGTTGAAATAGAATGCGCACTCTTTCTCTGGAGGGACGCATCCTGTTTACCTAATCCTGGAAAGTCATCAGAAGTGCCCTGGAGTACTGTGGACCCACCCGGCTCAGGAACCTGACTAGAGACTGTCACAGAGTGCGGACTTGATTCTGATAATCTGTTGCCAAACATGTCACTTTGGAGCCAGTTGAGTTACAAGGAGACCCCACTTATCACACCCCCACTTCCCCAGGATAATCACTAGTTGGTCATTTGACATCTGACAACACAGATGTGAGCCCTCACTAGGTGGATGGTATGTACCAAGAACTCCCTGCGAGCTTCTTGCTGGGCAACACAGCCAATTTGCTACTCACATTGTGTTTAGAGCTCACGTACACTTTACAAACCCATATCAGGGCACAAGTTATAGTTGGACGGAATCCTAAGATTACTGATCTAAGTAATCCTAAGATTACTGCAGATCCAGAGCCAGGCTGGTTTTGAAGGGCAGGAGTGAAGGAAACCTACATGAATGAAGATCGTTCTCGCTTTGAGATGTCTCGAAAATGTGATAACATCAAATTTAAGGATTATTATTATTATTATTAAAGAAATGGTTTGACCCCAGGCCTTGGGGTCTCCAGCTGTTCACTTACCCAGGCAGGTCTTGAGGAGTTCCTGAATGGTATTAGACCACTCCTCAGACAGGATCAGCCCCGGATCGTCAAAGAGGGGGATTACACCCAGAGAGGTTAAAGGGGAGCAGTCGAGAAATGGATGCTTTCCACAAGACATTACTTTCTAAGGGAGGAAGGAATAGAGATAAAAGTCAGATCAAAGTCACCGCAGTTAGAGCTAGTGTGGCCACAACAATAACAACAACTAATTACATTGGTAACACCTTTCATGTCGGGGGGATTTGGATCTGAGCAGGGGAACCATCTGCAGGAAACTCACCGAATCGGAGGTAAAGATCTCCCTATACTTGGGGAAGCTGGTGATGAAGTCAGTCAGAGGTGTGTGCAGACGCTCCAGCAGCACAATGGAGCAGGTTGAGGTTACCTCCTTCATCAGATTGGCTCTTGTAGCTGCAACAAAATGGAGCAGTTAATGGGAGGGGTGAAGCAAAAAATATCAGAGTCACAGTGCTTGATCACACAGCCTCACCACAATTGCCGCCGTGCCTTACCAGCAGGGACGTGATCGCGGAGAATGCTCTTGGCCTCCATTTTCATATCGCGCTTGGTCCTGCCTGGTTTGCAGTGAGCGAGGGCTTCAATGCTCAGGGCGTTGTGTGTCATTAGAGAGTACAGGCTATAGGCAGGCTGGCCTTGGCTAATCACAAAACCTAGCACCTGGACACTACCGTAGAGACAGGTCATATGACACCTTCCTCGGAAAGTCAGACTCTGCAGACAAAGACAAATGAAACAGATATAATCACTTTGTGGATAAACAAGGTGCTGAGCACTAATCTCACCCCGTTAGCCAACAAACACATTAAATGGTCAAATACCATAAGGCAAGCACTACCACCACAGGGCAAACACCAGTTATACAGCGCCATTCACGTTTTAAATTTTTTTTTATACAATGTGATCAATTTGAATCGAACTGAATATTGGTACAAAGGCAATCTCGGCAACAGAGTTTGCACCAGAAACATCTCGCACACGTACAATGAGATGCAGCCAATTAACTAACTTCTGGGGTGAATTGAGGATGAGAAGGAAATGCAAAAGGAAAATCTCCCCACTTTGCTGACTCCAGACAACTAGTGTGGCCTGATCTCATTTCCCATCACCAACAGAGATAACTCCCAGATCATTAACCTGTGCAGCTCTGTTGTGAGACCTGATTAATGTACAAGACTGGGCTGGTGGTCCTGAGCGTGGAACCAGAATCTAATGAACAGCTCTACACTGACCTGGGCTGGGCCCATCACCACCACACTGTGTTCGCTCCCAGCGTGCGCTGCAGCCAGGTACGGCCGGCTCCCGGCTCTAGAGAAACCAGTCTCATCGTCTATACAATCCTGGAGAGATTCGCCATCGAAGGTCCCATTGAGTGAGAAAGAATCAGTGTACGATCTCCAGTTTTCCACATCTCCCTCTACACTGGGGTCGTCAGCAGATGGTTCACTACCAGGTCCATCGTTTGAACTATTAACCCTTTTCTTTGAATTGCGTTGAGGAACCTCTGCCTTATCTTTCTCTTCCTCCTGTTGCTGCTCTCTCTCTTCCCCCTCTTCCTGACCATCTTCCTCGCTCTCTTCCTCCTTCACCACGACAGTCGAGCTTCTCTTGTCCAGCGGGGACCGAAGCCTCTTGAGGGTGCGGCGGCAGGGAGCCAGCACGCAGCAGCGCCGGGCCAGCACGCTCAGCTGCTTGGCCCCCGATACGTCTGTCAGCACCAACATGGGCTTCCGCTTCCAGCGGCGCTGTCGCACCTCGCACAGCGTTCCCGCAACATTCATCTTCATCTTCTTCAGCGCGCACTCATTACAGCATCTTCAAAGGAGAAAGATGACGTTACAATCCGTCTCTCAAAACATCACTACCTAATTCCCCACCTTTCCCAATACAGATTAGCGGCGTAGCCGGTCCCTCGCTCTGCGCTTAGCATCGCTGTCATAATGGCTCTCTCACTCCTCCAGCTCCAGACTTGTAATCTTCCCTCACATGAGGAGTGAGAAAGCTTCCCTCAGGGAGGCCTCTGAGCAAAGAACCAGTGGCTCATCCAGAACACCAGTCAGACGGTACACAACCCCCAGCGGCGGGAGGGCACTGAGAGAGATAACTGCACTGAACTGAACCACAGCGCAGGAGGAGGCCATTCCCCCGCATGCGCACACAAGCCGCCGTGCCCATGTGGCCCACAAGCCGCCCCCCCCGCCACAAGCCCCCCCCCCCCCACCCCCCCCCCCCGCCACAAGCCCCCCCACCCCCCCCCCCGCCACAAGCCCCCCCCACCCCCCCCGCCACAAGCCCCCCCACCCCCCCCCCGCCACAAGCCCCCCCCACCCCCCCACCCCCCCCCCCGCCACAAGCCCCCCCACCCCCCCCCGCCACAAGCCCCCCCACCCCCCCCCCCCCCCCCACCCCCCCCCCCCCCCGCCACAAGCCCCCCCACCACCAACCGCGCACACACACCTCACAAACACACACAGAGCCTCCCCCCAGGACACACACTCACACACACACACACAGCGCCGCACCTCTGTAGGAGCCGCTGAGCCCCGCGCGGTTGGGCCGACTATGAGCGGCCGTTGTGGGCTGAACAATTCGCCGCGCTGCTGCCGCCCGCCTCGCCGGCGCGGTGCCCGCTTAGGGCGGAGAGTCTCCCCCCGGTACCGGTGCCCGGTGCAGTCGCGTCGGCTACACGTCAAGTCAGATTTGACGTCTTCTCGTCAATGGAGTTGCGTGGCCGACGGTAATGTTTCCCGAGGTTCGTGGCATAGCGCCTCCTGGCGGCGGGAGGTCACTGTGCAGCATCGCTGCTGAATCACACACACAAACTGTTCCCCTCTCTCTCTCTCTCTCCCCCTCTCCCCGTGTTCGCTCCTCTCTGACACTCCTGGTCCCGATTCTCTGGAGCATCTAATGGCCTTTTTAAATGCCCACAATGGATCTGCACCGACAGCTGTCACTGACTGGTAACTACGACACGTGGATATAGAAACGCAAATAAAAGCAATAAGTTTCACTAATTAAACTGACAGTTCCTATGTTGATGTAAATGTCTCGGAGACTAAACCGTTGTCTCAAACTGGTCCAACTTTTCTGAATTTCTTCCTTCCCACCGAAAGTGGGGCAGAAACAGCACTATTATTATGTCATTTAGACCCAATCGTCGCTTTGTTAAACGTGACAGAGGAACTTTGATTTTCAATACATTTGACATCATCGATACACTTGAACGGTTTAATGTAAGTTTGACAAATACATTCTTTTTTTCGGCGAATGGAGAGAGGGTTAGGGTTAGAGTTCAGGGCAGTGCTCACTGCAAGAGATCCTAAACACTGTGTAATTATTATTATTATTATTATTATAAATAAGAGAGAAGCGAGAGAGAGCGGTGGAGAGAGAGTTCAGCACAAACAGTATCTGTCAGACCTCAAACAGCTCAACAGCCGCTGTTTCAAGTTCACTGACGGTCCTTTAAACGCGAACGGAAACCTCACAGTGTAATAAAACGTTTCTCTGTGACGTAAGTCCCGGTCTAACATCTCTGGTTCATCACCAATCTCCGCCTCTCGCCGTTACTGTCGGGCAGTCGCCCCCCGGAACCTCATCGCTTTCACTGCAACAGTTAATAATGTTCCTCACTTCACCGCTTCACTGAATAAACCGCTTCAATTCGAGAAGGTCCTGTGTGGCCCTCAGCAGCCGAAAAGTATCCCGAAATGTGGGTTTATTTATTAATCACAACGTATGTTTTGATTTTTCAAACGAAGGAAATAAAAGGTTAGTTGTCATTAAGTATTATTTTCTAAACAATGTCTCCTTTGAAAACTGGTAATAATAATAATAATAATCAAAATGATTACTCCCTGTGGAGAAACGCAAGACACCAATATCACAGCTTTACCTGATACAAGGTGGGACTTTGGATAATAATAATAATAATCCTTGCATTTGATATAGCGCCTTATCATGTCTTCGAGATGTCTCCAGTGCTCTTGTATAGCGCCTTTCACTTCGGGACATAATAATAATAATAATCCTTGCATTTGATATAGCGCTTTTCACGTCGGGAGGACATCCCAAAGCGCTTCACAGAACACACTGTAAAGTGAATTGACTGTATATTTGTGGGCGAACGCGGCAGCCAATTGCGCACAGCAATGTCCCACAAACAGTCGTAGATTGAAAATGACCAATTTATTATTGNTTTGGTTTTGGAGGGATTATTATTAGGCTCTGTGTGGAGTAAGGAAACTTGCCCAAGGTTTCGCCCTCTGCCTGGAATTGAACTCAGGTCTCTCGCTTGCAAAGCGAGTGCTCTAACCACTGAACTATAGGACTCCACATCCTCCTGACATGAAAGGCGCTAATACAAATGTAATTTTTTATTGTTGCCTCAAAACGCTTCACAGAATATATTGCAAAGTGAATTGACTGTATATATTTTGTGGGTGAAATGCGGCAGCCAATTGCACACAGCAGTGTCCCACAAACAATCGTGGATTGAGTGACCAATTTTTTTTGAGGGATTACAATCCCCAGAAAAGCAATCTGCCAATCGACTAACAACTGGGTTCCTACTTACTGCTAGGTAAACACAAACATGTGGAGTAAGGAAATTTACCCAACATTTTGCCCTTCTCAGGGATTAAACCCAGGGCCTCTCGCTTGCGAGCGCTCTAATCACTAAACTACAGGACTCCACTCCATGAATGTCATGATATATTCATAAAAATGTTATTTTTTGTCTATTCTGTCGTTTGTATTGTTTTATTCTACCTTATTTTAATGTTATGTCCTTCCTTCTCCCTCTCCTCCAGTAGATTCCCCGTGTCCTAGTGGTGTTTTGTGTGATTTGCTAGACAACAGCAACCTGACCATGAAAGACCAGACATCAGTAAATAAACTCAGTCAGGAGTTAATCAGTTTCGCTTCCTCGCTCCTGAAGTCTCCTGGAACTACAGCACCCTCCACTGGAAAAGCACAGGTCACACAGAGACTGATCTTCAAAACAGTAGAAGAGACACAAAGCACCAGACAAGTCTTTGGAAGATTGGGAGAGACAGGTAAGTCACAGTGCTGCAATATATCAGGTTAAAGGTGGAACCAGTTCACCCAGTTGTTAGTCAATTGGCGTATCGCTTTTCTGGGGTAATAATCCCTTTAAACTAAATAAATTAAACAAATAATAATTTGGTCACTTATTCCAGGACTGTTTGTCGGGCAATGCTGTCACTTTAGTATATTATAGTATATTCTTTGAAGCATGATAAGGCGTTATATTCAAACGCAACGATTATTATTATTCATTGCCAGGATCTTCTTTTCTTCTATAAAGTCGTCTAATCTCAATATATTTATAATCTGTAATTTCTTGACTGTCCTTTGGATGAGTCGCTAAATCAAGGTCCCGTCTGCCCTTAAAGATTTAATTACATTCAATAAAATTGATCATTCACTTCATGACTGTTTGTAGGACATTGCAGTGCACAAAATTGACTGCTGCATTAGCCCACAAAACACAGTCACTCCACTGTGCTTTGGGATGTCCTCCTGACTTTAAAGGCACTATAGCAAATGTTAGGCGTCTTTCAGCCCCTTGGGACATCCTCACAACATGAAAGGCGCTTTACAAATGTAATTTGTTGTTGTTGTAAGGATTATTTGGTATTATTTTATGAAAATGAATACTTGTGTGCCTCGTTGTCTCACTCAGTGCAAGTTCTGATCCCGTGGCGAGGGCGGCCCATCACAATGTTCTGCCTGACGCCTGAGCTTCAACAGAGGGGCATCATCAACCCTTCCATTCAATGGGTGAAAGAGGGAGACTCCCCAGTGTCTATAGAGGGTACGTTAGTAAAACGTCTAGAGAACAAAGATTGTGGGTAGTCTGGCTCAGTGCATGATTGATTGATTGGTTGATTGATTCATTGATATCTGTCTGTCTGTCTGTCTTTCTTTTTTCCAGGATCAATTGGAGATCAGAGGTTTGAAATGCCATGTATTTAAGTTGGTAAAACAATTTTGCCTTGAAACTTGAGACTCTTTGATGAAAAAAAGACCTAAAGAGTACCCTTTCATAGAATTTTACAGGACAGAATGAGGCCTTTCGGCCCATCATGCCTGTGCTGGCTCTTTGAAAGAGCTACCAACTAGTCCCACTCCCCCGTTCTTATCCCATAACCCTGCAAGTTTTTCCTTTTTAAGACCTATCCAATTCCCTTTTGAAAGCTACTATTGAATCTGCTTCCACCACCCTTTCAGGCAATGCATTCCAGACCGTAACAACTCTCTGGGTAAAACAAATTCTCCTCGTCTGGTCTTCCCTCGGTTCTTTTGCCAATTATCTTAAATTTGTGTCCTCTGGCTACCAATGCATCCACCAATTTCTCCCTATCTACTCTATCAAAACCCCTTATTTTGTACTTGAATTCTCATGGGGTTTATAAGATGCTGAATGTTTTGCTGTTGGCAGGGGAAGGAACTCAGTTCAAGGTGCAACAGGATGGCAGTCTGATAGTGTTAAACTGGGAAAACCAACAATTCAGCGGCTTCTACTCCTGCACCATGACATTTGGGCAGCAAGAAGCACAACACAAGCTGATGCTGCGCTTCTGCCTGGTGGGTAAGTGAAACTTGAGCGAGAACTCTGCTCCTCTTAGTTACAAGTAAAAAGGTTTATGTGTACGTGTATGTCTGAATGTGTGTGACTGAGTGTGTGAGAGTGTGGGTAAAGCGTGTGTGTAAAGCATGAGTGTGAGAGTGTGAGTGTGTGTGAGAATGAGTGTTTGTATGAGTTTGTATGTTTGTATGAAATGAAATCTTGTTGTTGAGAGTGTGTGGGTGTGAGAAGGTGTGTGAGAGTGTGTGTGGACAGGATAGGATCGGGGCTGTGATGGTTTTCGGCTCACACGTGAAAAATAACTACTGGGTGGGGTACCAGTCAGCAATACCTGTACTAGAGGGAACCTCTAATGCTGAAATCTCTGAAAACACATCTCTGGTAAGTGTAGATAAAGGAAGCAGTCATATTACATCCAGCAGGTCCCACAAACAGGCATGAAGTGAATAATAATTGATCTGTCAGGACACTGAGAGAAACTCCCTTCACTTTTTCAGAAGTGCCATGACTTCTTTAACATCTACCTGAACAGGCAGACGGTTTAAAGTGGTTTAAAGTGTCATAGGAACATAGGAACAGGACTAGGCCATTCAGCCCCTCGAGCCTGCTGCGCCATTCTACAAAATCATGGCTGACCTGTACTTGCCCTTGCCCCATATCCCTTGATACTCCAGCCTAACAAATATCTATCCACTATCTGAAGAATAGCACCACCGATAATGCAAGGTGCCTCTGACACTACAGTGGAATGCCAGCCTGTGAGCTCCCACAGCCTTCTGATGCAGAGGCAAGAGTACTACTAACTGAGCCAGGCTGACATCTGGGATTCTGGGTCATGAAAGCACATTGGAAATGCTGAAGCAGTTATAGGGCACACAAAGCCTTATCGTAGTATCTCTATTCTGTTGATTGGTGTGGATATACTGACAGAGGGAGCTGCTACACTGCAGAGAGGAGGTGTCCTGACACTTACCACTTCTCTTTGCTCAGGGATAGCTGAGTAATCTGTGTATCGTTGTCCCCAGTGTACCACATTCCATTGAAAAGTCTTCAAGTTGCTGCCCGGTTGAAGACCACTACGTGTGAGAATGGCTCTGTGAAGAATTCAGCAGCGGTCAAGAGCTCACTGGATTTCATGTGCCGGCAGCTGTCCTGTGAGGTGTCGGATGTGACCTCTGAGTGCAGAGAGAACACTGCAGTTTCCCAGAGGGGTCTTTACCAGCTCCAGCTCAATATCACAGGTGTGTGGCTCAGCCAGGTCAGTGCACAATGACATCAAACACCAGAACAAGACAAGGATAGAAGTGCAGATGCTGATAACCTCATTATCCTCTCTACCATTCTCAGACACTCAGACACAAGAAGATTGCACCCCCACCTCACCGCTGCGGTTAGATATGGATACCTGAGGGATTCCGGAAGCTAAACATTTTATGTTTTCCAATTCAGAGTAAAATTGATGTGAAACACCAAATAATTTCTTTTCCCAATAGTGTGGCCACAAAGTCGAAGCCTGAGTGCACCATGCATGAGCTGGAAGCACTGCTGGATGGAAGAAATACTGAGTCAGGTAGGAATTGCACAATGAGAGTCTCAACAGAACTCTGTTGAAGTCTGAACTGTTTACAGCATTCAGACAGTCAAAGTCGACGTGTTTGATAACTCAGCAGATTACTGTCACACTTTCAACCTGAGACTGTTCCCCCAAATTAGCTATAATCCAACTCCCTTACAATCTCCAGACTCCATGTAGAAGACGTGAAAAGCACTATATCAAATTCAAGGATTATTATTATTACTCACTTTCCAGTGGCAAGGAGTGCACCGCTTCAAATAGTGCAGCTTTGAATCGGCGTCTCACTCAAATAGGCTGCAAGGAAGGATGGTATGGAAATTAGGGGTTAGCACTTGGTATTTATAGGGAAGATTTTTATTGCAAACAGATTTGGATTGCCCATAACAGTAACAAATAACCCATTCACGTATCTTTGGTGCAAAATGAGACAATCCACCTGGGTAATTTGTATCAAACAAAGCAGCCAGTTTATTCAGAGAAGGTTCCACAACTAGTCATAAAGGGTTAAGGCTCAAAGATGGGATGGTGTAGATGGAGCTTCACTTGGCAACTAACGTGTCCTATACCTGATCTGGGAATGCTGGATTGGACAGCATAGGCGGAGCAGTTCATTTGAATTTAAGAATTTTTCTATATTTAACCCATGCTGTACACCATTTTATAATTTTGATACTGAAATACCAGAAATGGGAAAAAGTTCAGTTCCTTGACTCCAAAAGCAACTCACCAAGTTCACTACCAGCTATGATTTGAAAGTGCTGAGGAGCTCAGGTGACTTTGTCCTTAGGTGTTAGTGATTTTTTGTGTGTGAGTTTTTATACACTACTATTTTTCTACAGGCATATCAGAACATTCGTGCCTTACTAACCCAATCTCCAGAGGTGCCGAAACCTTTCAACAAAATACCTCCCTTGTTTTCCACACACAACAGCTTCCAAGCAGTGAAAGTGGATCACTGCCTGAAGGGAATGGGGAAGCCACCTGCAGAAAGGAGCCTGTGTGGTGATTGTTGCGGTGAGTAGATATGTTCTTTCTTACAGGTGAACGAACAAACCCATGTTAAATGCTCACCTCTGAAACTTATTGAAAGTCGTTATTCGGGCTGTGTCCATGTGTGGTCAGTCACACTAGCTTTTGTGAATGGAGTAAGACAGTGACAAGTGGTGAACACTCACTCCATCTCTGCACGAGTTGCTCTAATGTCCAGTGAGGTACATGTGGTTTGTGAGGGCCGGGGAACTGTGGGAATGGCTCTAGAGCCCCTTAATTACACCTCATCTTAGTCTGTAAGGTTATGTTGTATTTAAATTTAACTGTGCAAAAATCTTAAATTCAGTCCTGAATTAGAAGTTGGCCTTTTTAAGAAATGACTTCCAAATTAACGCTGAAGCATTAACTGACAAATCCTGACCCTTACTTTACTTAGTTTACTGCCCAATTAATGAATTTACTGAGTCTAACAACTGATCTATTTACAGTGACCTGCATGCCTGGCTCCTATAGCCCTGATTGGACATCCATCTGCATTCCATGTGTAGCCAATTCTTATCAGGATGCATTTGGTAAGAATGAGTGCCGCCCGTGCCCAGCAGGTCTCCTCACTAACGGAACTGGAGCAAACTCCTTGTCTGATTGCTTTGAAGATAACATTAGAAGGAGGGGAATGGAGGTCAATATCAAGAAGGGGAAACGGGCTAACTTTCCAATAGACACCACAGCAGCAGGTAAACAACAAAAGGCAACAGTGGTGATAATAATAATCCTTGCATTTGTTTTAGCGCCTCATCATGTTGCAACGTCTCCAAGCGCTTCACAGAATATACTGTAAAGTGAACTGAATGTATATTTTATGGGTGAAACGTGGCAGCCAATTGCACACAGCAGTGTCCCGCAAAGAGTAAATATGAATCTGTAATCTACCCAGACAGAAGGTACCTCTTCCTTTCTTTCTTCCTTGTGTTATGGTTTGAGTGACCAAATTATTATTTTGTCTTTAGGGATTATTACCCCCGGAAAGCAATCCGCCAATTAACTAACAACCGGGTTCCTACTTCCTACTAGGTAAACAGAGGCTTGTGGAGTAAGGAAACTTGTCTAATGTTTCGCCATGCCCTTGCTCTAACCACTAAGCTACAGGTGATTAAATAATAGAAGAGTGTTAGCGGCGTGAACATCTCTGACTGCTCAACAACCACAACAAATTACGCCTCATCAGATCTAATTCTACACATAATACTCCTGCTTCCTCTTGTAGATTCCAAGATGGTCCTGCAGAGAGTGAACCTGACTGAGATTGTGGTAACAATCTCGGTGTGCAGCCTGGTATTCCTCGTAGTTACTGTTGTCATATTATTCTGGTAAGTGGGGCAGCATGCATGGTTATTCCTTTGCTTTGGTTGGTCAAGTCCTGAGTTTCCTCACTTCAGGGAAGGGGAGACAACGGGCAAATTAAATATGCAAACTCAGTTCTTTCACAGCACCTAGTGCATTGTGATATTATTAAGGTACTATCAGTACTTCCAAACAAGCAGCACTGTGATACAGATGGTGTATGACTCCCTCTTGTGGTAAATACTGTCTACTGTGACTCAGTTCTAAGATGGAATTGGGTGGCGGGGTGTCAGGTCCTTCAGCTGGGAATTTGAGTCACTGAGTAGTGTGAGACAGTGTAAGGAGAGAGTGAGTGTGTGTGAGAGAGAGAGTGTGTGAGAGAGATTGTGAAAGAGAGTGTGTGTGAGAGAGGGTAGTGAAGTGCTAAATAATAATAAAATTCCTTGCATTTAATATCGCTTTATCGTGTTTGGGAGACGTCTCAAAATGCTTCATAGAATATATTGTAAAGTGAATTGACTGTATATTTTGTGGGCGAAACGCAGCAGCCCATTGTGCACAGCAGTAGTCCACAAACAGTAAATGTGCATCTGCAACCTGCCCAGACACAAGGTACTTCTTCCCTTCAGAATATTCATGTACTTTAGCACAGTAATGTGTGTACTCTTTATATGCCCACAAAATACAGTCACACCACTTCAGAGTGACTCCTATGAGACATCTTGATGATGTGATAAGACACTATACGAAATGCAAGGATTATTGCTATCATAAGGCAGGATATCCACGACTTTAATTTTTATGTATAATGCATTGCTATCTCTATCTGTAATGTATTTAGCTTGACGAAACTGATCGGAAAGGACTGTTATGTCAAGTGAAGCGCTAATAACTGGACGAGCAGATCTATGAGTTTTGTGCAGGTGAATGTCAAGGGGCTGCTGCAGATACCATTCAGGATGCCCCACACATGGGATCCATCAAAATCCATATCAGGGACTGCATCATGGAACCCACAAGAACTGAGGAGAACATAAATACAGAGACATGACACTGCCCCCAACAGCCAGCTAGCCCAAGATAAGAAGTGAAGCAGTTGAAATAAACCATAATTATGATCAGTTTGCCTAAGAGCCACAAACATGGTGAGCAGATATCAGATCTGAGATCCTGTGTGAACAAAAGAATGATAAGAGATGAAAACAGTAAGAGCCTGTAAGTATGCTATCAGATGATGCATGCGTCCCACTCGTATTTTACAGTCTCACAGTCTCAGGTGCTCTCTAAAAGTAACGGCACAATGAGTTGAGGATAAATTGTGTGGGGTCTTTGTTCTCTCTGCTATGTGGGGAGTGGAGAGCTGAGATATTGTGAAGAGTGAATGATGGCAAGTGATCTAAAAGGAGTGGAAAAATGAACCACTTAAAATAAATACAATTAATTTACCTAAAATTAGTGTTCTATGATTCAATACAATCTCTTATTTTTCATCATTTATACATAAGAAAAGCATTGAGATAGGCTGATGTGGAACACTGAACCTGGTTCTTTCGCTTCTGGCAACTGCTTTTTAATTCAGTCCGGTTTGATGGGATGAAAGTCTCTCTGTACGGGCCCCATATGAAATGTGTTTGAGATGGTCATAATTCAGGTGCCAGTAGGCGTGGGCTCACAGCACAAAGCTAATTTGGTGCTAATTGGTAAACTCACTCAAAGAAGCCAGAAGCATAGCTGTAACAGATATAAATATTAAACTGGTTCACTTGAGGGCAGTACTTCTAAGGGTTGGAAGTTTGGCATCTTATTGGGAAGTGAGAGAGATTTAATTCTAACCCACCTGTAAACACAATCTCTCCTAATTCCTTGGCCACTGAACATCCTTGGTCTGCCATCTGGACTTTAGATAAGACCCCAGGCTAGTCAGGGCTTTGGACATTGAAGCAAGTTTTGAGAATCAATACTTAAAAGCACAGAAGGAAACCATTGAACCCAGCAGGTCTTTGCAAGGCTAGCTCCAGTGAAGCGATCAACTTCTATTCAATGCTCTTTCCAAAGTATCCTTTAATAATAATATTCCTAGTAGGCCCATTCCCTTTAAGTGCTATTATAGACTCAAATTCAACAGGGAGAATGTGTCCCATGTAGAATTGTAATGCCCCCTCTTAATATATGGATGCATCTGCAGTGCAGACTGACCTTCCCAGTTTCAGGAACACAGTCTAGGTGTGTTAAAGAAAAATCCCCAGAAAGATGACACAGCCAATTTAACATACACATTTTACAAACACTTTAATGTAATGTAAGAAACATAATAAATTCTTTAATCATTTCCATGTTAGTTAATAAATATTTGAAAATATTGTAATGATTTGAATACGGGCCATTTTTCCTACTGTTTGATCACACTGGGAGGGAATGATATTTGTACACCTCAAATAAGCACATTAATAAAGAGGCACAAAAAAAGGCCATTCAGCCTTCCCGTCATCTCACTTTCCAGTT